TAAGCCAGCCTCAAGCATCTTCTCGTAGACAACAATTCTTCGGAAGAGTCATCGCAAGCAAAGCTCACCCAACTCAGCCGACGGCACAACACGGTCGGAGGAATGCAATAAGTAAAAACAAGTTTTGAAATATCTTCATCTAAGCGGAAAACAAATAGAAAGGGTGCTCACCTTAGACCCGTCATCATCAAGTCCCACTTTGATCTTGCGTTTCTTCTTCCAGGGCCTTAAGGAGTAGTCCAAATCACCATTAGGAGAGTCTTGAGGAACTTGAATCGGGGGAGGTACAATAGGGGCTTGATCATCAAGAGCAGCACCCAAAGCTTCTTACTACTTGCAATGTCTAGCCAAACGCCTGGAAGTGTGTCTGACTACTGTTGCTCGTCAAAACAAAGTTGCCCAGTAGCTTGAAGGGTATCTGGCCCTTCAAAATTGCGCAAAGCAGAATTTTTGGCGCAAAAATCAGCACCTAAGGCGCCCAAATCAGCGCCTCGAGTGGGAATCGGATCAACCCATGCTCACAAGCCACTGTCTAGCTCTCCCTGATGAAACTTGGACTGATTTTCAGCGCCCCTTGATGGAAAAATGCTGCTGCCTAACATTACAAAGCCGCCCAGCGCAGCAGAACTGAAGTTGTCAGGGACAGCAGAAGCAGCAGCCAGGCTGCTGCCCAGCGTGCCTGGGCTGTCCAGGACAGCAAGGCCAGCGCCCAGGCAGCTGCCCAGCGCGCCTGGGCTATCCAGGACAGGAGGAGCAGAGCCCAGACGCCACCCAGCCCCCTACCCCGCGCGAGCTACCCAGCTGCGCGCTGCACTGTGAAGCCGCACGCTCCGCTGCCCAGTCGCTCGCCCAGCCACTTCCCTTCGCTGCCCAAGCCACACCTCGCGTTGCCCATCTCCCCTTCGCTGTCCAGCCCTTCATTTACAGCCCCAAAGCTGTCCAAGACAACATTCGAATGCTCAAAACTAGCCTCCTAGTTCTCCAAAATGGTGCCTACTTTCTCCCTTTTTCAACCTCCACCACTCCCTCTTCAATCGACATTGTTTACTTGAGAAGCTCAACTAGCAAGGAAGAAATCACACTCTTGAAAGGATTCAAGGAGAACACACTTTGGCTTCAACAAAATGGGTAGGACTTGAGTTCTCAAGGTTTTTCAAGAGGTGGGTGCTCAATCTTAAAAATGAGTGAAATGGGTAACATGAAGAAGAAGACTATATTTATAGTCTAAGGTTTTTCAAAAAAAGGGAAAAAGCCCAAATAGAAAATTATGGGCCTTTTCAAAATAAAAAGGCCAAATAGAATATTATGGACCCTCTTCAAAATAAAGTGGGAAAGACTTGAAGTTTAAAAATAATAATAATAATAATAATATAATAATATAGTCATGCCTCTTCTCCAATCTCATTGGACATGGGGCATTGGGGGGCAAATGATGAGTTAAGCCCAAATAGTCCAATTTATGTGTTAAAGTCCAACCCTAGTTGAGGAGGCCAACCTCATTTTGAATCCACCAAGCCCAAGACCGGTTAGACTTTTTGCTTAGCACGTCATCAAGAGGAGAGCATGGAAGCTTATCTGCACCACCGAAGGAAACGGTCCAATCTTTGATCTCGTTTCATGAAGAGCTCCCCAACCTCCTCCTTCTGTTGAGGATAAGTCGTGATCTCCACCAGAATGATATTTTAGTGCTATAAAGTAGTGTTGAGGATAAGTCATGATCTCCACCAGAATAATCTCTTAACTGCAATAAAGTAGCTTTGAGGATAAGTCATGATCTCCACAAAAATGATCTTTTAGCTGCTATAAAGTAACCCCAATCTGTTAGGAGACTTATATAAAATGGCACGCCCCACCAACACTTGCAGTGGACAGATCGACGACCGGAGACCACTGCTTCTTTGATTCTCCATTCTCTCAAAGCTTGTATCTCTATTCTCATACCTTTGAATTAATAAAATACCCAGCAACTGAAGCCATTGAAGAGTGGATGTAGGTCGAATTAACCGAACCATTATAAATCGTGTCTTCTTTAATTTTTCATTGATTTCACTGCATTTATTACCTACACTTGACAGGTGGTGTGCAAAACCATTTTTGTGCATCATTAGAAGTGTATATAATTGACACCTTTTCTAATAACTTAAATTTTTACATAAGATGATAATTCAACTTAGTATCAAAATACAAGAAAGATCGACATATAGTAACAAATATCAAATAGAAAAAACAAATAGAAACACCAAAAAAAAATATTTATTGTTGCACAACCTTACATTTTTTTACATCTAGGGCGGATCTATAGTGGGGGCAGCTGCCCCCACTGCAATTTTAAAAACCTTTGGAATGTATTTAGAATTTTCAAACTTTTAAGTTATTGCCCCCACTGAAATTTTTCAGAAGATTTAGGGGTATTTATGTATATAAATTGTGGGTGAGTCTATGCTATTTTGTATTTTGGGAGACATACTGGTTTTGTAGGGTCCATGTGTTGGCCACTAGTGAATTTGATAAGTCTGTCCAAATATTGAATTCAACATATCAATCGAAACAAAGTCATCCTAGCCGTATATGACTTTCCTATTGAATCCAACATATCAAATGAAACCACAATTTGATTAACTCTCACCAAAATTGCATGGATGACTAGATTAAGGAATATGCCAAAAAAAGGGTTTGATTTGCGTCAAACTCGATCGCCAAAAAGGGTTTGGTTTGGATCAAACTCGATCACTTTTCATCAATGACTTCTATTTTTCATATTTGGATAAATCTCTCTAACTATTTGTAGTGCTCGCAAGTCATAATTTTATATGGCTAATTTGTCATAAAATTAACGTAGAATTAGATGAGTATTTATCCTTAGTAAATTTAGATGATAAATGAGTTTGTTAGATCACCCAAATAAATAATTAAGTAGATAGTAAAAAAAATGAGAGTTTTTGAGATTTTATCATAGCTTTTGTAAGAGATAATATATAAATAATTTCTTTGATTTCTTTAATTTTGCTTTTTTTTTTTGCGTTATAAATAGAGTTTGTATTATTCCTACATTTTTTTTTGCTAACAATAGACATTAGAGCTTTGATAATTTAGATTTGAATTGAAATATGATGACTCGATCTGATTGTGTATCAATTTCTTTAGAATATTATACACAATGATCAATGTCTTAAAAAAATAGATAATGAGGAGTAAAAAAAAATTTAATTCTAAGAATTGGGTGTATTTGGATGGTCTTGATTGACATTTTTTTTTCTGATTTTTTTCCATTGCTTTTTTATACAATCTTTTTGTGAAAAAACTGAAATATTATTATTACATTTTACGTTACCCCGCTGAGAAAGAAGCCCGGCTCCGCCCCTGTTTACATCCGATCCTTAATCCTATGTTTTGTCCCACATTGAGTAGGCGGAAGCGAAAAATATTGCTTCAGGAAAATCCTCCACCTTTGCGTCATGGACAAGAATTGCCAATGAGCTCATCCACGAACCACTGGATATTCCGGCCAGATGAGCCACCGCCTCTCTGGCGGCCCTCTTCAACTTCGTCGCATTCTTATGATATTCCTCCGAAATTGGCCCGCTCATAATTTCTTCAATACATTTTTCCACTTCCTCACTACTGACCACGCCTTCTTTGTCAGGTCTGAGCCTCACACCAACCCTTAAAACATCGACAATGAGCTTCGCATTCGTTGGTTGGTCGGTCCACTTCGGATAAGCAAGTACAGGGACACCGGCGGTGATCGCCTCCAAGAGAGAATTCCACCCACAATGACTCAAAAAACACCCAACAGATTGATGTGCCAAAACCTTTGTTTGAGGACTCCACTGCACCATAAGTCCTTGATCTTTGGTGCCTTCTGAAAACCCTACTGGAAGCTGCGGATCACCCTATTGGAAACCCACATGTTAGAGTGCAAACAAAAAATATATTAGATTGATTGAGCAAGAGAACAAATTAGGGTTTATACATAAATATCAGAACAAATTACTATGGCTTCATGCTAAGCTTCGAAAGTAGGCTTGAAACTATATGTACCCGGATGAAAAATGCTATTTTTGTTAATTTCACCATTCAAAATCATTGAATTGATACTGAATTTTATTACTTTCTTAACTAATTGCGATGAATCAAGTCACTAAATTATATCAATAAAATAAGTTTAAATAATATTAGTGGTAACAAGATTCCTACCATGATAACGGTGCCTCAAGGATCATAAGGGTTAGTTTCCAGGAAAATCCCAAAAGATCCAATGGGCTAGCTTCCGAGGAAAAATAGCTTGCCAGTGGCTAGACCCAAAAAAGTGAAAAAAAATAGATAGCTAGCAAATGTTACACCAAAAAAAGAGAGTAAAATTCTTTCCGTATATTTTCCCTTTTTTGACACATTATTCACCATTAATGAGTGGGAGACTCATTTGTATACGATGGTCTCACTTAAATGCATTGTGAATGATATGCTAAGAAAAAAATTAAAGAAAAAATATATCAGAGAGAATCTGAATCTCAAAAAAAGATTTAGTAAGCACTTCATCCAATAAAAAATACGTTTGACATGTACGTAGAGTTTTGAAAAATCACATGTGAGAGCACAAAAAAATTCCAATGGGATGGGCAGAAAAAAAAAATTAAAGGTGGGTTTATGTATAGATATTTAGTAATATTATTTAAATTTAATTTATTAACTTTAATCAACAATTGAATTAATAGTGAGTCTCTATTAATATTAAGACACATTATTAATTAAATGATAATAGTTAAACAGGTAAATAAATTATGTTCAAGAAGTATTTCTCGTAAATATTTTAAAAAACCCCGAGACCTTGAGTTAAATTTTTAGAATAGGTTTGAGTCAATTTACATATAATCACTGATTATAACATCACCACCTTCTTTCACGCCGGAGTCCGGTGGCTTCACCACCTATAGAAATGGGCGTTTAGTGTTCTTCAAAACAGTTGCAATGCACGCCATGTCTTTTCCCGATGTATCAAGTATGCTTCCAAATGAAATATATATAACAGAAGAACAATCTCTCTGGTTGAGCCATTCAATACAAGCATCTTCGGATTTCCACAGATCAACACTTATATCCAGCTCTTGATCTTCCCTGTGCTCCGCTCGGTACGATGAAAAAGTAAGAAGTTGAAAAGTTGGAAGAATAGAAAGTTAAAGAAATAAATAAAACATCGTGTTTGGTAAAGAAAAAAAGTAGGAAGGATGAAAAGGTGAATGAATTAACTTTCCTTCCAACTCACCAAACTCAATCCCTTTAAAATCGGAAGGAAAGTAAATGGAAAATTAATTATTTGTGTTGATATGTATCTTATTTGTCTATATATCTTTTTATATATACATATATTATGTATACATTAATTTCATATAAAAATACAATGGTAAAAAAAAATATATATATATATATATATATATATATATAAATTTAAAAAAATTAAAAAATATAAAATATAAAAAAATAAAAAACAAAAATTTTAAATTAAAAAAAATTATTTTTTCTATTTTAACTAAATGTAAAAATTTTCGACTCAACACGATGACATGCCTCGAACTCGATACGAAAATAAATTAATCAACTGACAACTCGATACGACACAATTAGCTAAATGAGTTAAGTTAGATTTAACTAATATTCGACATAAACCAGTAATTACTCAATACGAATCTGACACGACATGACTCGATTGTCACCTCTAACCTTACCTAACACAAAAAAAAAATACTCATTTTTTATTTTGTAGTCATCTAATCAAACACAAAGAAAGTAAATTACGAAAGGGTAGGTAACATGAACACTTATGACAATGATGATACTAAAAAGGTAGGTTGAAGAAAGCAAGTGGAAATAAACAAAATGAGTGGGATTGTTGTTGTTTTTCGTCCTCTACGTGATTTACTCTCGGGAAACTTACAGATATTAAGAAATTTGTCACTTAATCATTTAGATTTTTTAAGATTTAAAATATTATACATAGATCTCTTAAAATTTATACGTGCGAGACACTTAGATATCTGTCATCAATATCTGTTAGTATATCTGTTAGTAAATTATATCTAGACCCTCTAAAGTTTATAAGTGTGTAATATTTAGACCCCTCAAGTTTAAAATGTTATATTTAGACCGAAAATACTCTAATAAAAGATAAAATATTAAATATTTTAATTTTACAAACAAAATTCATGTTCTATTATGATCTTTATTGAAATAAAATTAAAATTAAAATTAAAATTTTCTTATAAAATCATAATTAGTATACAATTATATTATCTATTAGAATTTAATTATTTGCAAATATTATATTTGGACCCTAAAATAAGTCCCAAGTAGAATTAATGAGCTAATACTTTCATCAAAATTATATATGAAGAGAGGGAATTGGGGTTTACTTTCACTAATTCAAGTTGGACTCAATTCAGTTATAATTTCACATCAATCGTGTATTTAGTGAGACATTGAAGTTCACATGACTGATATAACCATAGCCAATTGCTATGCATATATATAATTCTTATTGTACAATTGTGTTAGAGGAATGTTCATCTAGTGTCCGACCTAACTTGAAAGCAACCTAAATCATGAGGAAATGAGAAGAAATAAAAAAGAGGGTACATTCACTTCTATGAGATTTGATCAAATAGTAACTAGATTCTCTTATGTATGAAAAATAGCAATGACTTCCCTCATATTTTTATTGTCAATAACAAATTTCCCCAATGGTTAGTGCTTCGATACAAAACCATCCAAAATTTGATGACATAGGCAACTTATATTTCTAAAATGTCAACATTACCCTTTCACATTGCACATGCATTTGATTTGACAAAAGTTATGCATGTTATAAATAATATATAGGGTTAATCTTACTTTATACTCTTATAGATATTTTAATTTTCAATTTGCACCATAAAACATTAAAAATCATAATTTACACTCTTAATGTTATGAATAAGTAACAATATGGACCTCGTTCAGATTGTCGTTCAATTTTTCGTCATAAATTGAAGCATGTGAATTGTAAGTGTTTTAGGCAGGAAGTTATGTGTAAATTCACATACTGTTGGCACTCATATGAGTTGCAAAGAATAGAGTTGACCTCTATCTAATCGACGAAACCTAATTTTTGATATATAAAATGGGGTAGGGGTTGGCGTTGGTCAACATTGAGCTTGGGCGAGTGAGTAAGTGGTTCATATGTTTGTAAAAATAGGTTTTTTTTTTAATTTATTTATAATGATCTATGATGTGGCATCATTATATGATTGGATGCTAAAAAATCAGCTACAAAATGCATGTGTGGCATTACTGTTGTTTTTCGTCCTCCTGTGTGGAAGCAATTATATGTATAAATATGCGGTGCAACCATGATATTCATGGTTATTAGAATCAGATTGGACATAGAACTAATCATATAATAAAAAAATTATAAAATATAATAATTTAACTAATCTTACTCACTACTATCATTACCTCAGCCTTCAACCACCTATCAGGTTGTCACCCGTTACCGCCTAATCCTCTCAATCCATTACCCTTCCATATCCAGAAAACAATTTCGATTTAAACTGACACAGTAGATGAGGAGATCAATGACTAAGGAGGAGTTCGAGAAGTATGGGTGTGGCTATTGGTCATACTTTGTATGGATCGAGGAGAGCCAAAACAGACAGAAGATGAAGAGGAAGAGGGTAAAATTGTCTGAATCGTCTGATCCCGTTAGTTTTAGGGCAAAATTGCCCTAAAAAAAGTAACTTCTCAAAAATTAAATTGTATTAAGTGTTGAACCAGTCAGTTTTAGAAATCTGTATAGCTCATTGGTTTTTACCAAAAGCTGCCGATTTTGTGGTTCTCCAGTAGTTCGATTATACATGCGGTATTTTGAATAAACCAAACTGATTTAGGGTCCAATTCATTAGTCTGATCCTATTCTGACAACACTGATGATATCACGTTAATATAATTACGTGGTATCACTATCAAATAATAATAAAATAATAAATAAACAAGATGAATTTCACTTTCTTGTACATGAGTAGTTATTAACTTATATGCAAGGACAAAACTAAATGGGTGCTTAGGGGGCCATGATCCCCTCAAATTTTAAAAAATACCTTATGCCGTTTTAGGTTTCCAAAAACTTTACTTTATATAATGTACTCAAATAAATTAAATAACCTTACCTCCACTTTATATCTCACGTTAGTTTCATTTGACAAGAAAATGAGGTATGACATTGAAAAAATTACTTTTGAATACTATAGTGAACCCCAAAATAAGTACCAAACAAAGTTAATGAGCGAAGAATTATTCAGTTTGAATAATATAATCAGAGTGAGATCTCTTTTAATATATTTTTTTCTCAATTTTCTTTTTTAATGCATCACCTACTGTAAAATAATAACAACAAAAATAAAATGCTGATTATTATTTAGTTGCCACATGGAGGTTACAGTCTGTGCTATTAGGGATGCAATCTGGGCGAGTTGGCACGAGTTGAGAGGTTAACCCTAACCTAATCCTAAGTATATAATCTTCATCTCTAACCATATCTCAACCCGATTACTGCTCGAGTTTAATTCGGACAGGCTCGAGTTTAATTCGAGTTACTTAATTTAGGTTGATTTCAGGTTAAAAATCGAGTTGGGTTTGAGTTACTTAATTCAGGCTGATTTTTTGAAGTGTAAATTTGATTTTTTTCAAGTGTAGATCTGATTTTTTCAAGTGATCTAAGATGAAAGGTGAGGTGCAGATGAAGAGAGAGGGAGGAGTGACAAGTGAGAAAGAGATGTTGAGAGTCTGAGACGACTCAGATGAGTGACAATTGAGAGAGAGAGGCTAAGAGAGGGAAGAATGACGAGTGAGAAAGGGATCCAAGAGTGATGGAGATACAGGGGTGAAAACTTGAAGTGAAGTGAAGGTCTAGACTTTAAATAGTGAAGATAAATACTAACACTAGTTAAATATATTTATATATTTATGTATATTCTGGTTCAACCCGATTTTAATATTCGAGTTGAACCCGACAATCCGAAACCTCAACCTAAGACTTGCCCAAATTAAATTCGGGTTGTGATTTTTTCTCAGACCTAATTCAAGTATTAAAAATTCTAACACAAGTTTTTTTTTTGGGTTAGACCTAGGTTAAATTCAGGTTGACCCGTCCAAATTGCACTCCTATGTGCTATTGGACCAGTTCAAGCCCACAAATTCTCTGGCCCATTCTCTTATCCAAATGACTTAGCAACCCAACCAGCCCTTGGGCCTTATATGAGCTTCGAATTGCATAATTTGTGTGGTGAGCACACAAAATTTTAGGGGTCTATTCATAATTTTGAAAAATTATAATTTGTGAGTCATTTTTATAATATTGATAATTGAAGTTACAATTTTCTCAAAGATTAATTTACAATATTTTTTTAAATTATTGGTCAATCCTATCAATTTTATATGCTATTCTAAAATATTATTATTGATCATAAAAACTCTCAAAAATTAATCATCCTAAAATTTGTGCCAAAAATTGTATATGATAGTATGGTATCCAAGATTCTTTTAGTCCATAACATTCTTTTAAGGGCAAATTATACTTTATATTTTAAAAAATTTAAAAGAATTTAATTTATACTCTTAAAAATGAGATTTTTCATCTTACACTCTCAAAAGTGTTACAGTGTAGCCTGGTTGGATATAGTCGTATATATTTTTTTGATCCGAACATAGTCATATTGCAATACATTTAATACATTGAGTGTATAAACCAAACAAAACCTTATGTCTCAATCATTTGGTGTCAACTATATGACTCTGTCTTCACCATTTATTTCGGTCATGCGCTATACACTCATTTAAGTTAAATATTTTTTTATTATTTCGTTTTATATTAATTTAGGTCTACCCTACTCTTAGTACCATTAAGAGAAATTTTGTCACTCTTTTTAACTGGTATCTCTATCAGCCTCAATTGAATATAATCAAACTATCTTAATCTATTCTCTCTCAACTTGTTTTCAATTGGAGCTACTCCTACCATTTCTCTAATACAATCATTTCATATTCTATCATTTCTTATTTTTTCACTTACCTACTTTTATATTCTCATTTTCGCTACACTAATTTAATAAGTTAAGAGTATAGTATAAAAAATATAATCTTTGAATACAAAATAAAAAATATTAAGGGCTTGTTTGGTTTACATCTCAAAAAACAGTATTTGAAAACTATTTTTGGGAAGAGTTTTAAGAAAGTGTTTTTAAAAAATTTTAGATTACAAAACCTGTTTGGTTATATATTTTTTAAAATAGTTTTAAAGAACAAAAATTATAAAATTTGTTTAGATAATAATCCCCAATTCCTACGTCTCTTCAACTCACTGGCTTTCTCTCTTTCACTGTGCATCAAGACCACCACCGGGCCACAACCACCACCTAAAACCCACAATTGAAACCGAGACCCACCAACACACAATCACCCAAAACTGAGAACCACCACCCATCACCAACCCACAACCACCACCTGAAACCGAGAACCACCACCAACCTACAACCACCCAAAACCCATAACCACCACACAAAATCTACAATTACCACCGAAACTCACAACCATCACCAAAACCCACAATCATCATCCAAAATCCACAATCACCACTTTGTGTTTGGAACCTAGATGTAGGGGAAAAAAAAGAAACTGGAAAGGATGGAGAAAACGCACGGAGTTCTTGAAATGGTCTCTGTTTCGTCTGGACAGTGTCATTGCAGAGAGAGAGAGAGAGAGTGTGTGGAGATGGAGAAAGACAGGTGAGGGCTTTTATACTTCAACCAAAAAAAAAATGTATTTTGTTACTAAGAAAGTTTGATGAGCGGATCTCGTTAAAAATGAGAGACTGTTTTCTTTGTTTTCTATTTTATCTTGAAAACTCAAAAAATATTATTTTGTTGTCCTCTAAAATCACATTTCAATTCTCAAAATTTTTTAAAATTTAGAGAATAAAAAAATTAAACAAACAAATTTTAAGTATTTTTAAAATTTTAAAAATAGAAAACAGTTTTCGGGACGTAAACCAAACGCCCCCTAAATCTTTTAGGGACAAAGTGTGATTTTCCCTCCTAAATCTCAACATCCAACTGCATTACCAAACCAAAAACCCATGGAATGGCGGTACCTTCCATCCTCCGCCGAGTCTTCGTCCGGTCACAGCCATTCACCGCCACATACGGCGGCACAAGAACCTTAATTTCAGGCGTTTGCGAGTGGAGATCTCACTACGGTACCTCCAGCGCCGCCGCCGAAGACTATGAGACCGAAGGCCAGAATGAGAAAAAGAAAGGTGAATGGTTCACTTTACCACCTTTCACTTCCACCATCGACGGTGATGCGCTTGGAAAAGATCTCTCTGGACGGCGTTCTACAACGAAAAGTGAAACCACCACTGGCGGTGGAACCACCTCCACGACGGCGCTCAAATGGGTACTACGATCTTGCCCGAAACTTCCGAGGTCTCTTGCACAGAAGCTCTTTCGGTTGAGACAGGTATGGTTTCAATCTCAGTGAGAGTACAAAGCATAGTTGGAGGAGATAATTTTTCGAAATTTTGATATAAGGGCAATTGCATATAACGATCTTTAGGGCTGTTTCGAAGTAATCCTCAAACCATTTTCAATTGATAACCTCAAAACACACTGAAATTAGTTAAACGTATTTTATGGGAAGGGAAATTGTATTTTTCCATAGAAGCAGATATAAAGATAAGTGTTGTGTATATGAATTTGTGGGTTCTGTGTATACTTAGTGTAGATTTCACACTTCTAAGTTCTAAATGCATAAACTGCATCTATGTTTTCGTATATATACATTTGTGGGTAATTTTTGTGTCGCATTTGATCCCTGAAATAAGTAACAAGAACCACACTTATAAAAATAAATACTTGTGGATATACTGCAATGAGCAAGAACAACTAGTTCTACGAGCTTCTGTGTTAAGTTTTATGCAATTTGAACTCAATGGCATTATGCAGCGCTTTAATCATTACGAATATTACATTCAAAAACTTGATTGTAAAGTTTGAAAGACACCTACTCCAAACACGTTTTAATATTTTTCATGAATCCTATTTGGGGGAAAGGATAATGGTATCTTCTTCCCAACTCTGCTGCCAATTTACACCACATTCTTTTTTCACAGGTCTGAAGAGAGTCCTCAAACCTAGCAAGTTCTAATGTGGTTATTCATCTTCAAGAATGGCGACTCAAGAGGGTAAAACTTGATCACATTTTTATTTTATTGAAATGGCTGATTAGTGTGTGAAAGCATGTTTCTTTCATTATTTGGCATAGGAAAACCGTAAATCTTCTTTCATCTGATGTTTGAATAATTGGAAGGTGGCAGCAAAGGACTTGATGAACCTTGGAGATCGAATATACCTTCCTAATACTGTTCAAGAGTTGCCTTCTGAGAAACCTGAGTGTATTTGCAATGAAGAAGAAATGAAGTTTCTCCAAAGCCTTGAGTTGTATAAGGTCCAGAAACTTTGGCTTCTTTAGATGGTAATTATGTATCATTCTCTAAGTCCATGGATAACCCAGTTTTTGCCCTTTCTAATTATCAGGATCCAGCCATCATTGTTTTCAATAAGCCCCCCTGGTGTGTCTGTTCAGGTTAACTATCCGTCCTTCACACATCGATTTCCATTTGAACTTCCAAGCTGTAGCTATTGGGTTTCTTATTCTGGCTGATGGAACTTTGGACTGGGTGGTGTTGGTATAAAAAGAAGTTTAGATGAACTGGCTGCGGCTTATTTGAGATATGACAATCCAGAACAACCAAGGCTGGTGCGATTTTTTTTTTTTCGCTTTTACTTTTCCACTAACGACCCTGCACATGTTCATTAGTCTTTGCTCCCCCTTTTTAAATCACTCATTTTCTGACATGTCACATAACAATTTGCCCTCCATGATCATCCTAATTTTTCTTTCCATTTTTTGGTTTTTTTTTTTTTGGGGGGGGGGGGGGGGGGAGGGAGGGAGGGTGTTAGGGTTGACAAAACTTTGGGGCCTAAAGCAGAAGGTTAATGTGATAAGACATTGTCTTATTATCATTTGCATTGATTTCTGATGTCTAATCCATTTCATTGATCTAAGTACTATTGGTAATGTGTTTTAACTTTTAACACATCTCTACTGCAATATGGCTTTCATGTGATCATGTAGGTATCAATAGGATAAGTGATTGTAAGAATTTCTCTGGAACGTGGTTATGGTCGAACTGAACAAGTTCTGAAAATATCTCATGTTAACTGTGTATTTTGGTTTGTTTTAATTGTAAAATTACGTCTAAAACTACATATAGAAGATACAAGCATGCTTCTTATGGTACTTCCCTTTGAATCACTTTGTCAAGTGAATATACTTGCTATGCAGTGAAATTTTCTACTTGCATTGCACTAGAACTGGTGAATAACCAAGCTGGTTGGTGCATCTTATTACGAAGCTTATGTAAGGTCGTATAAATATACGTGGATTATGGATATATGTATCCCGTGACTTACAAAGAAATGACAATGGCTAATGGTCGATTTTCTCAATCACTGATGTTTTTAAGAGAGCAAATCTGAAGCAGGAAGGCTGTATGTGTCATTGAATTTTTGCCTTGGAAGACAAGTAAGGGGAAATATCTAGGGAACTTAAAATTCCATCTGTCTACTGTGCTCTTTTTGATTCATGGTTCAAGGTATCGGCCGAGTCCGATACAACTCGGCCCCCTCCGATACGATAACGGTACACATTGTGCAAAAATCATGAGTCTCACCTGAATCGGTCGTGACTCGGTTACAACTTGGTGGAATTGGCTTGACTCGGAGTAATATCGGTGTGACTCGGAATAATATCGGCGTAACCCGGCCGAGTCATACCAGACTCGGACAGATATGATAAAATTCTTCCAAAATTGAAAGACAAAAATACAAAAAAAGACCAAAGTGGAGAAGAAAGAGGGATAAGAAATCAAACAAAAAATAGAACTCAGATTTGCAGAAGGCATAACTGCCTTTCTTCTAATTTTTTCATTCGCACAACAAGCTTTATTATTCTCTTTCTTCTTCTTCGCAGCAAAGACCAAACATCACGATCGAAAATCAATTGCAGAAACCCTAGGTTGCTTGACCAACATCATCGATCGCGATCACAGTTGAAGTCTCGAACAGGCCTGACTCCCTCTGTTCCTCTCTCTTCATCTCTGCAGTCGAAGTCCTGATCGCGATCGCGATCGGTCGCTCGCCTCTCGTCTGCTGCCAAAGAGTTTCACCTCCCTCTCTCTCGTCTGAGAGTATAAAACCGACAAAGCCAAGCCCAGTGTCACCCAATTCATTAAACACTATTTGACTGTGATTAATTTGTTAACTTAAATATGATTAATTTAATTTACTTATTGTGAGTAATTTATTAAAGTGTGGGTAATTTATTTTACTTAGAATGGTTAATTTATTAACATAGTGTGGTTAATTTATTTTATTTGTGGTTAATTAGTTTTTGGGTTCACTTTTTGTCCAAGTTTAATTAGATTAAATTTACTATTTAATAAATCATTAAAATATTTAATGTAATAGTTAAGATATTTAGATTATTTATTTTTTAAATAAATATTTGAAGTATTCTATTTTAAATCAAATGCTAAATTATTAATCTTATGGTGGCAATTATCCTAATTTGTATTATCCTAGAGACAATAATAATGATGATATTTCTTTAAGTGCTTACCTTAAACATTCATAATAATAATTATTTTCGGTAGCGTCTTTATATTTTATTTTATTATTTTTAATGTGTTTTTGGATATATTGTAAACATATAATGCATGAATGATGATGCTTATATTTTTTAGAATTTATCATAATTTTTTTAAATTTTTTTGGAGCTTCTATCTAGCATTTTAAGCATATCGGCCGATACCGTACCGCGACGCCGTGACCGATGTGTATCAGTGTCCTCCGAGTCGATGACCGATACCGCGACTTTGAACTATGCTTTGATTGGTTTGCTTGATTTAGCTTGATCGCTGCTATTATTTTGTACTTCACATGTTCTGTACTAATATGTTGATGAGCTGCTTTGTTGGTTTCCAAAGACTCGGTGGTTCTCAGAAACAACTACTTTTGGAGTTCGAGAGAACTTTGGACAGCTTCCAGCAAGCCTAGTTTGCTAGAATTTTCATTAGACATCTTTCAGGCAGCGTGGTTTGCTACAACTTATAAAAACTTGGACCATCATTGGCGCCATATTGCTATAATAACAGGTGTCTCAATTTAGGATTTTTGACGAACATGGGACTTGTGCACAATTCATATTCACTTACCACTCATGCACCCTGCTCTCATCATGTTTTGTTATTGTATCCTCCAACAAACGAGAATGAACAAATCTGGCAAATTGACTTCAAAAATGAACTTATGTGAGATAAGAAAAAGATCTCTAAGTCTATTCTCAGATTTCACAAACAAAGGTGTGTATGCAAAAATAAGCAAGTGTACCCGGGAACTGTGCTTGCTTCGTGTTATGCAATCCTCATCGAGTTTTGTTGCTCGTTAAACGAGACATTGCAAGCTTAAATTGGTGTTCAGCTTTAGCTATTCTTTGTGTTGTAATAACCTGTGTGATGCAGATCTTGTTTCAGTTTCTGCTTTATTATTTGGAGACTTTTTTTCCAGAAAATGATCCCATGTGTCTATTTCTTGCTTTGAATGAGCTTGGCTTTTTTTAGGTACACAGACTTGATAGAGATAGTAGTGGTATCCTGGTGATGGGGAGGACACAATTAAGTGCCACTGTTCGGCATTCCATCTTCCGTGAGAAAACTTTTGGAGCTTCAAATGATGTGTGTAAATTCCCACTCTTCTTACTAGAATTGCTGCTGCTATTTTGATTATCTTTATTCTTTTGGAGTTATATCTCTCCTCTTCAACCAGATTTCCTTTTCTCCTTTTTAAGGATTGTGAAAGTAAAAGAAGGATCTTGCAAAGGAGGTATTGGGCACTTGTCATTGGATCTCCCAGATGTTCAGCAGGATTAATCTCAGTGCCACTGGGAAAGGTTAGATAATATCTTCTTTACATGACCTTAGATAGGGGCATCCTGTTTCTATTGTCTGTCAGCTCCTATCTGGAAAACTCATGTGGTTTCACTAGTCTACTCAGTCTTACCCTTTCTCTGCATCATCCGCTGCTGCAAAAATACATTGGAGAAAATGGGCAACAAGAACTGATGCTGCCAGGCTGTTCACTTTGGATTTCTGATTTAGCTGGACAGTGAATTTTAGGGCACATAGACAAGGCATTGTCTAACCTTTGCACCAAGGGGCAATGAATTCTAGTCGTCAACCACATGACGCCTAGGATGTCGGGGCAACAAAGTGAATGTCACATTGGCAGCCGGCAGTGGTACAAATATGGTGTTAGGGACATGATTCTCAGCTTTAGTCAAGAAGCACCATCTATGTGTATTAAACTATTTTCTCAATAAATGGATGAAAGGCACGCATTAAAGTATGTTCAAACTATGCATGTATTCCCTTGTGTGCGTTCATAAAAAATAATGAATAAAGTTGGTGCTTACCGGTTCGTCTTATATAATGCTATTAATCTTGCTGTAATTTACAGTTAATGTAAAGGCACTTTATTTTTTTTCTCCTGTTTTGATGTTATGTTTTCAATTTTTTCCTGGGTTTGATTTGAACATACAATTTATAAGTTCTGAGTTTGGAAATTAAAATGTTATTTTTCCAGTGCTTTAATTTTTTATCATGTTGCAAATAGTTGCATATATGATGGCAGTGGCTTAGGGTTTTATCTGGAATGCAAAGCCATTCACCATGCTAAACCTATCATTAGATTGACACGTTTTACTTTTTTATGGAGTACAATATAGATTAGGTTTTGATGATCTGACTAATCCTCTTCCACTTTAGCAGTGTCTCTACTTTTTGCTCAGTTTAGAATCTTATTATACATTTGATACATTTTGTAGGTAGTGTTGGATAATAGAAAATCAGAAAGAATTACAGTCGTCGGCAATAACCAAACAATGTCATCTCAGCATGCCATAACAGAATATCAGGTGATTGAACCTTCGTGGCACGATATGCTCTGAACTGAGCTAAGATTCTCATTCCTGAAAGTTTTATCTCAAAGAGGAATAATACAAAAATGAGATTATTGTCCTCCAGAACAACTTCTTGTTAAGTCTTTTTAGGAACATACGTTCTTTCTTGTATGTAAATGCATCTGACAATGGTGGTCAAACTTGTAGGTTATACATGGTTAGAGCTACCACCTCTCACTGGTAGAAAGCACCAGGTATACAAAAACTACATGCCGTGCTATTTTGATATCTGAATGTCTCTTTGCTTTCTACAATTACTGATTCGCTCCTATTGTCTCTTAATTTGGCCGGACAAAATAAAGCTCCGTGTGCACTGTGCTGAGGTATTGGGAACGCCAATTGTTGGAGACTACAAGTATGGGTGGCAATCTCATAGGAACTGGAAACATCTGCCCTCCTCTAAGCTTGAAAGTAACATGAATGAGAAGTTTTCCAAGGGAAATACACTTCATTTTGGCCTTGATTTGGAAAGTGGAAGTATTTCTGAAAAGCACCCTCTCCTACATCTTCACTGTAGAGAGATGGTTTTGCCTAATGTATTAATGGCTTTGCAACATACCCAATTGTCTTCAGAATGTGATCTTACAAAAATTGAAAGCCTCAAGTTTGTTGCTCCTTTGCCTTCACACATGCAAAGAAGTTGGGACATTTTGCATTCTTGAGCTGTAATTGGGTCCTCTTGCAAGTTCTTTAGTTGTATTTCTTTCATGTCGTTGGTCAATCCATTTTGCAGCTTTGAAATTTGGTTCAGAAAAATTGTGTTTTCGAAACTGATATCTGCTTACGTGCGCATAGTGGTAGAGAGGAAGACTTGTGTGCATGCCCACATATCAATCAGAGAATAACTAGCTCCTAGTGCATGCTATTACATTCAAAAATGAGCAAAAAAATCACAATCAACACATTCATTAATCGAGATTCTTAGCAATAGGAAACAATTTCAGGCCGCAATTTCACCAGGTACCAATTTTCAGCCACAACAGTAACTAGCCTGTACAAGAAACGACAGAAGTTCCCCTGAATGCGTTCCTGCAATCCTGCCTTCCCTTTTACATGTGGTGGACCTATCATTTGATAAATTGTCATCTCATGTTGATTTGCAGTGTCTGGACTAAACTTCCCATATCATCATATGTGCTCTATGTACATGTTAGCCAGTGAATCACAGCAATCAACTGAAATACATGTTCATGAAGTATCTTGATGGGTTGAAGCCACTCAAAATTACTGCAAAGCAAAGATAATGAATTGATCTTTCCTGTCAACAAATGATAGGGTAAAAAGACAATCAACAGAAGCAGTTAACACTTACAGATAGGTGAAAGGATGATGACGATACCAATTGGATACAGGAAGAAAGTAGTTCTTTCTAAAAAGGGTAGTACTGCATCAAAAAAACAGACTGTTAGACTTTACAGGGAAAGACAAGTTTTATAACCTAGAAAAAGGAAAAGGAAAAGAATAAAACAAATCATAATCATCAAAGCATCAAAAATTTCTCCTGTACTATGGCCACCCAATCAATACACCTGGCAATTAATTACAGTGACATCCACATTAAATTCCATAATCAAATTGACATAGCCCACGAGAATCCAGCTCTTCTGCGTGCCAATTCCAACTTTAATACAATACAGTGCAAGCAATGAGTTTAAATTCATAACCACCTTTATACCACCGGAATTAAGTACATAACACATCATCTTCTTGGTGATCTCACAAAAAAAAAACCTGAGCTCCGCAGGTTACCTCTGATTGACCCATAACAATTTGAGGTATATATGGCTCTGTTTAGACTCCCCCACTCACAGCATCTATTTGGAAGGAAAAATCCAAAGAAATTACCAACAAAAAAATCATCCATATCCTCAATATCTCATACACATTCGGTAGTTTCTTGCTGGTCAGCTGATGATGAGATTAATCAATCATGAAAGCAATCCCAGAGAGTTGAAAAGAGTGCATAAGCAAGCAACCAAACAAAAATACAACGCCCACCATTTTTATGTCTTCAGCAGTTCATTCAATTCAATGTCTCAACAGTAGTCTTGTATTTCCGGTGAACACTAAAAAAGACCAGAGAGGAATGCCATTGGGCCAAGGTTTGAGCTCCCCAATGCTCAAGTATCAATCATAAACGAATATGCTTATCTATATTGTAGAGCATACTTCACAACCCAAGAGATGCGATAGGTAAGTTTTTCATCCCTTTGATAACTGATATAAGGTGGGATTTCCACCCCGAAAATGTGACATGATTTTGTTACATACCCATACTTTTAATCCAAATGGGGTTATATCGACATATGATGGGTTCACCATTTAAAGTCAGGCGCCCAAGATGTTTGTAAACACTCCTATCCAACTTTTTGTACCCAGCATGTTTCAGTTCATCTTTGAAAAAATAACATTAGAAAGAAGAAAAGTAACATACTACAAGTAGAGGTTATCTTACCATCATAACCTAAAAAGTTGAGGTAATGATAGTAGGAAGCAGCCATCATACAGAGCAGATTTGATAGCAAAACAGGAAAGAACCCATGAGCAACCAAAAGAGGTGATAGAAAATAATGTATAACTGTCACAAAAACAAAGCCATCAGTGACAATCCAGTACATAAATTGAGGTTGAAATTTTAGAAGAGATGTATTGTACAACCTTGCACTTACCATACAGTACAGCAAACATTGGGAAGAAAGAGTTGCAGTGTACATCAAATGCGTAAAGCCTTCAAAAGAAGAAAAACAGATTCAGCACAAAACAAAAAAGAATTTAAATACCTAGGTAATGCAGTGCCCTTTTTTGTTTACAAAACTATTAAAATGGAGACAATTATAGACTGCATTATTATATTTTACAATATTTAAAAGATGGAACATGTGAACAAAGAGATGTGAATAGAATTGGCAACTAACATGACAAATAAAAAGAGAAAAACAATAAAAGTAAGAATGTTCAAAACATACAATTCTACTCTTTGCTCTACCACATGACTGTTTGGAGCTTCCTCTCGGAGATAAGTATTTGTCAAGAACCTGCAAGGAGATTGCAAATGAAATTTTCCTTTGTACCTGTTTTCCATCATACATTTAACATGCAGCAGCAACTCATAAAAGTCAGGCACATCTTAGCACAAAAAGGAAGTGAATACTAGGAGAAGTGACTTCCAAAACAAAAGGGTTGCTACTTTAAAATCAGAATGTCCAGAAGTGAATATCAATACTACACATAGTTTTACAAAAGGCGTTGAAGACGATAAGAACTGGCAGTGGCAATATGAATACAGACAATTGTAATATCCCATTGTATTAATACACTTTTGATCAGTGCAATATGGAAGCATTGGCAAACCTAAGATTGATAACAAAAAGGGGGAAAAAACAAGCAAAAGGTGTATCTTCAATGAAAGGACATGTATAAATTCAAAATGGTAGTTGTAGCTCTTACCAACAACATGTAGCCAAAACTGCTCCAGCTATTAAAAAATGTAAAAGCAATACTGAGATAACTACAAAAACAGCATGCCCCACACTATGATCATACCTGAAATAAATGGAAGATAACAAAGTTCAATCATAATCAGAATTAAATATGCATAAATAATGAAATGTAACTGATACTTCAGTTTAAAAGTTAAACGATGCCAAACAAAAAGAAAGCGACATGAAACAGCCTAATTTGGAAGATGTCAGTAAATTAAAATTGAAACATTTGCACTTATGTATATATATACCAAAAATCACAAAACTCATTTGCAAAGTCCAAATTTCAGGGAAATGGCATACGATTGCCCAGCCAAAAAAAAAATGTGGTTCACAGTTCAAGAAGTCATAGGGTGAGTTTCTTTAGAATCAATATTATAGAAGTCAGCTGGGACTACGATTATATGTATAAAAAACTTACGCAGCACAATAAGCTAACGTAGATACTGCCAAAAGAAGAATACAGATTACAACAAAGGCAGGATCATCACGTGCCCACTGGTTCTTAGTTTCTGCAAAATCAAATAGATACGAAAACAACTTTAAGTCAAAAATTAGAAAGGAATTTGACTAGGGAAAGGTGATAACAAAAGCGACCCAACTGACCAAAAAACTATGCTTAGTTGCCAAGCTACTTGTAGAAACAAAAAAAACAAAGAGAACAAAGTCAAGAAAAATGTTTTGATTCTCAATTTTATTAAAAAAAAAAATAGAATTTCAAAGGGGTTAAAAATTATATCCTACCATTTTTTCATAACATTGACAAAATTAGATATGTTAGAAATGGGTGATAAATTAGGTTAGCTGGTGAAGTAACTTAATTTTTATACAAGTCCTAGAGAGCAGAGATCAAATCATGCCCTCATCCTGGTTGGGAGTGTGCACAAGTATGGGTACCCACAATTTTGTATGCCATTTTCAACCTTGGACCAAGAAAAAGTTTCTGTTAGCTCTGGCTTTAGTTTCAAGGAACTTTCAAATCAATTTGAAAATTTTAGCAAACTAGATTCAATTACAACGACGATATAGTGAGCTGCGGAGGAGAACATGAAAGAAGAAATTTGGGTTGAGACAGAGAAATTGAGGTGACAAATACTATGGTTAATTACTTTACCAACACAGTTGGCAAGGAGGAAGACTAGACCTCCTAAACCCAGGCCCATTCATAAAACAAGCCAAATATCACTCACTTTTGCATCTCTTACTTGAAAGCACGTATTTTATCACTAGAATATGCTTCACTACAAGCAATGACATGCGCAATGCAGATTTAAAGCATACGCGAAATTAAGAGATTAACAAAGACATAACAAAATTACGTTATATTGCAACTATGAATGAATAAAAGTGCTTACATTAAACTTTGAGAAGAAAATAATATATGTTATTGATAATTGATGACTATATATAGACCTGCACACATACCTATATATAAATCACCCTTACAAGATTTGAAATATGACGACACTAAAACATTCATGCAATATTTTTATTCTTAATATCAATTAACTTAGAGATAGAATGCAACAACTATCACTGCATAAAGCTGATGCTTATGGGTATTCTAATGTAATAAATTAGTGCCCAGAATGCATAGCACAGTCAGTGTGACATATTACAATTTGGCAACAACATGAACACAAGAACATGTATAAAAAGAGACCAACTTACGTTTGTGGTATTTAGTGTGCTGATAGCTGCATCCATTGTACAGTTCCACATGCAAAATGCAGAAGCAATAGTATTAGGGAACTCCAAAAAACAAACTCAAAACACTCCGAGTAACAACTATGTGGAACCAAATTTGATTCAATTCGAAGGTGAGATAACCTAACAAGAAAGTTTGAATAGGATCAACTCAACCCAGGAAGCGGCATGCCAAAAAGTGCAGAGAACTATGCAGGAGTAACACAAGAAATACATATTATGCCAGTAGAACTTAAGCATAAATTAAATAATGCAACTTGTAACTTGTAGTTCCATTGCAGTGATCTCTATAGGATTCCGGAACACATGAAAGCAACATCTACTTGCTATACTTTTAGCATTGTATAAAATCAGGACCCATAAATAATCAATGATGTTCATATATCGTTGTAGTCATGGAAGCCGATCAGGTCATGAAAAATGATCATGCTAAACAAATGACTAAAGAATCAGGAATAGGAATCTAAAGAGAGTATAGGTGGGCAGTGAAGGCAATGGAGACATTCCAGGTATGTTTGTGTACGAGATACATTTTCAACAGTAAAGAGATTCCTAAAACTGTTAATGTGGCTCAACCAAATACAATTGAATTCGCATGCATAGATTCAAAAGAAGCCATAAAACTCTCCTGGGCACTCATATCTCACAAAAAAAAAAAAGTAGGAGAAAAAACAAATGACGCTGGCTGTTTGCATCAACCATCCTTGATAAGACATCATCTCAATATATCTGACTCCACAACAATGAAATTTCTAGTTTTGCCCTTATGAACAGAAAATTGGATGAAAATCCAAGTAACAGTATTGGAAATGAAAACCACAGCAACAACAACAAACAGCAATGATGCAGCATCAATACTTACACAACTTTAGGCGACGTGCATAGGTGAAGCATTTGCCAGAAAGTATATTCAATATCCATTTGTTGCCACTACAGGGAGCAGCCAAAAAGAAACGGACAAAAAAAAAATGAGGTCATATCCACCTAAACAAAAACCAAAAAAGTGGAAAAGAATGATAACAAATAGCACATCATGTTCATCCAGTTTCCAATGCCCCATCAATACAGCAACTACTGTAAACTTCTAGATTATGTATCAAGAGACTTGCCACATCTGGGACAATGACAAATCAAGACACTGAAAATTGAAATGAATATGAGATACAAGTAACAGATTCCACGTCTATGTTCGAGTAATTTATACATCCCATAGAACCTTCCCTTAAGGCGGTAGCTCTCATGTTACTTCGAGATCCATTCTCCTTTTTCTTTGCTCTGGTGCTCCTCCTAATCATCTCTCCTAGAACCGTTAGCTCGTTAATCCCTTTTTATGGTAACTAGTGTTTACCATCAGAAACCTCCATAACCACACTGCCGTTGCATGCTTCCATACTTTACGGATCACCGGCCCCACCCACTTTCTCTTGGCTGAATCTCATGTCCCTACCCTCGTCTTTCTCCTAGTTCCTACTCTATCCCAATCTCTTCCTTTTCCATACTTCAGTTGTCTCTTTGCAGAAGAAACCCTCTGCAACTTTACAAAACTCAGCATAATACAGCTGGTTTATGCAGTGAGGATGATCCTCTGGAGCTGAAAGCAGTTGAATCAGATAATGAGCATGTCAAAAACTGCATCTGTTGGGTAAGCTAGTGACAGAAAGAATCCATTTATTCCAAAGACTGGAACTCACAGGTCACCATAGAGGATTCAGCCAACTGCCAATGAAGACGACTTGAATATGCTTAGGCTGGAAATTAGCCAATAATTTCTACATTGACACCATTACAAGAAAATAACACGAAGAACAACCAGAATATAGGTGTTTCTAACAATTACAACATAAGTTTCTAGAAGGTAGATAAATAGGAAGGAGAGTTATCAACTCCAAATAGGTGGGAAAGGAGATATACATAGCAGATTTTTCTCTTTCTCCATTAAATGATGAGGTTTGAACCTTGGAATCTGCTCCACAGTAGTCCACAAAATACGCATCCAAGAAACTCAGGACTATTAACAGATTGTTTGAACATAAAAACATCAATCCCTCGTCATTGGATAAGAGAAACCAGAGAACTGACTAGAAGACTCAAAATTTCACAAAAATTGCTAACCTCAAAACCAGCTTGGGATTCAAGACTAACGGAAATCACTTGTTCAGCTACATATTATTAGGCCTATTTGGGTATATTATCCATCCACTGATCACACAAACTCTAGAACTTCCCACTATCCCGTCCCATGTTGTTGAATCCCACAAAACAATGAAATTCAGTGACTTTTCATATTTAAGCTAATGATTCAATTCCACACCAGAGCCTTATCACAAAATTCTTCGGTACACAGCCATTTACATGTTATTAATGGAAAAACCCAAAGACCCAAAACACTACACATAAGCCAAAGAATCAAAGGGAAAAATAAAATTTCTAGAAACTACACATCAGAGGGAAATCTAAGCAGAATCATAATAACAACGGTTCCGTTTTCCTAATTTGATCCAACCCATGAACATGACATGAGATAACCCAACTCCGCAATGCGATGTTAATTCGAAATAAAAGCAAAAATGTTGGAAATATTATCAGACTGGCATGGAGATCAGATCTGTAGAGATTGGAAAGACCTCAAGATAGAGATATATGCATGTTGGGGCACAGGAAGAGAGAGAAGTGGAACCTTGACAATTCTGCGGAGGTACTGAGGTAAGGCTTGATTGGGACGAACATGATTATCAGCCGTACGCCCTTTTGATGATGTGGGCAGCATCTTTTTCTTCTCCTACTTCGATTCCTCCACGGTGCTCTCTCTCTCCCTCTCTCCCTCTGGGCTGAGGCTCTGTTTGACTCCGTTTCGTTCTCTGCTTTCTGGTAAGCTACAGTTCGAGTCAGGTATGGTGGGTCAGATTGCGGGTGACCCGACAGCTCCGGGAATTGGTCGGGTTTCGCGAGCCCGGTTCACAACAAGATAGGTGACATTACTGATATTTTGAATTATTTTTTAATACTTTGTAGTTGAGTGGAATTAAAGAAAGAGTTATAAAAATTATTTGAATATTATTAAATATTAATTTACATCCTCTTTTTTATTTATTAACAGAGAGTATTTTTTATTTTTTGTGCATCACTCATCTTAAATTTAAATAATATATTGACTAATTGTTAATTTAAGCAAGATAAAACTCTCAAATAATTTATCAGAATAAAAATACATAAAATATTAAAAGAAATTGAAGAGTATAAAAAAAGACAAATTGAACTTTGCATCGTAAAAAATTCTAAAAACATTATCAACTCTCTGCAGCTCGTAATATCAGACAATTCAACTAATACATTTTCTAATACCGAACAATTATATTAATTCATATCTATTTTCCTCTTTTGTTTCTTCTATTTTTATTTTTTGGTTCACGTAAATTTTAAATTATATAATTAAAAAATAATTTATTATTTAAAATAAAATATTACTTAATTAATATTTAATTATAATATTATAAAAAAATTTTAAATACAAAATTATAAAATCGTAGAAGTAGTTTAATAACAGAAACATCAACGGAAGTTATAATGTCATCAGGCGGGCCAAGTACCGCCGGTGACGAATACTTGCAGGTAGTTCCGGTGGCAGCTCTCCCTCCTCGTCCTCCGGCGGCTACATCGACCGTGATTGTCGAGTATACGCCTTCGGCCCAAATCTCGAGGAGGAGGACCTAGAGGTCAAGCTTCGTCGCATTCTTGAATGCGTCCCTGTCCGTGTCAACAACACTTCCGGTAGCTCCGCCGGTTCCGGCTCTGTCGACATTCATCAAGTATTATATCAGGATTACGGTTTTCATGAAACCCTAGATTGCAAGTGTTTATCGTATAGTTAGAGTTGCACGATATTTTCATATGCAATTGATCGTAATGTAGTTTATATGTTTGGAAACCCACAAGAGAGCTTCTTCTTCAAGTTCTGCAGGGTTCCGAGGGATAGTGAGGTAGCCTTGTGCCAAAACAAATTGGTGAGCCACAAATATAATCACAGCATCACTGTTCGTATAGGAATGAATTTGGACTCTGGAGATGTGTTAGGAGTGGGAGTGGAGTGGCATTTGCACTTGAACTAGAACTCAATTGTGTTCCATATACTAAGAGATAGCATGTGTTCACTGTTTTCTGCTTTTCTTTTTTAGCAATTTAGCTTATTTATGTGTTCCACCTTCTCATAAGAGAGCCAAACTAAGGACAATATCAACCCTGAACCAACGCTCATTGGATTCAGTCTTTTTCTTTACATAGGCTTTACTTTTGTGTACATACATAGTAAGTTTATTTGGTTCGATGTTTTGATGTGAGGTTCACTGGACCACCCCCCATCAACTTGCATCTTTAGCAAATAGCTACAAGTCTCTCAAAATATAAAGAATTTGTGGGCACAATGCAAT